CAGGGTCTACCTAGTTTAGTGGCTGGAATGTTCATCCATCCACACATCCATCCACCCATCCCCTCATCAGTCCATCTTTCAACAGATATCCACTGAGCATCTATAACGCACCGGGCATCGGCAGGGCCCTGAGAATATAGTGTTGTGCTAGAACAACCCCCTCAGTACTAACAGTCTGGTAGTGAAGACATAAACTAGTACGACACTTACATGTAAATGACCCAAGTACCACGAGGCAGTTCTGCAGGTGCCATGTGAGCCAGTGGTGGGCAGATCTGACCTGCTGGAGGAGCGGGGCGGCTTCCCTGGGGAGGGACCTCACAGCCCTGGGGATAACGGCATGGCAGACACTGCTGCTTGCATTTTCCCCTTTGCTTTTGTTCACAGAGCTCAGTTTTGTCAGCTGTTATAAATAGTCATAAATATTTGGCCCAAATTATTGAAAGCCCAATACATGGACTAATCTGATCCAGTTTTCTGGATCTTTTTCTAGCAAGCAAAAGCCACTGGCATGTTTCCCACTGCAGACTTAGAGTTTTGGGACCCAGGAAAACAGTACTTGCCTGTGTCGTGTGCACAGGAAAACAGATTCAGGAAGTCTGGTGCCGAGGCTGCCATGAACACCATTCCCTTTATGCCATTTTCTGGATATCGGCATTTGTCTAGAAGGGGTGTCCTAAGAAAAGTCATATCAGTGTGCTCGTTCTAGCCACGAGTCCACTTTGCCCTCTTGCTTGGCAGCTTGCATGGATCACTGGTCATGAAGAGTCCATGAGGTTGCTCGGGGCTCTGTCATTGGCTTGGGGTTGGATACAAACTGGAGTCATGATCCGAGGCAAGTTCACACCCTTTGGGGCTGACACATGTGGGGATTTGGACAGGTACAAAATAACCTTCATCACCAGAGAAAGGTGACACGAGCCACAGACGGTGTGGGATGAGAGTGTTCCAGAGCTGGTTCTGCCAGTTACCAACTGATCAACTGTGGCACATCTTTTTCTCTGAGTGTGAATTTCTTCTACGAGAAAGTGACAAGAGGGTATGTCTGCCCTGCTTTTCTCAGCCAATTATTGGGAGGACGAGCTGGATTAATACGTGAAATGCTCTACGCTATGGCAAGCGCTATGCAGGCACAAATCACTGTTATGAGTAAGGGATGACAACAGCTGCTTGGATCCACCACGTCCCCCAGACTCTCTGGAGGTCTAACTCCAGATGGAGAAGTTATGCCTTTTCCCTTGCATGTCTTTTGATTTGCAAGTCCCAGCTCTAAGTGGACTCTTGGATACTGATGGGATGCCTCATGCTACTGAGAGCCCGGTGACTTCTGTGTGTGAGTGATGTGCTGAGCCCTCTCAGCTCAGGATCTGGGATAGGGTCTCTTGCTTCAAAAGGAGCCCACAGAATTGAGGGGCCATACAATGGAGGAAATGGGGCCCAAAGCTGACCCCAGTCACTCCTTTATTTGCAGGTGTCAACATAGAGAGCTTTGTGACAGAGTGGATGCATCTTTGGTCAGGGTTGGGCCCTTGGCAAAACATACAAAGTTTGCCTTTCATCCCCCTTCACCTTCCCTTTGGAAGTTTGTTCCTTCTACTCTTCTCCATCCCTCCCTACCTAACTGGTGATTTTAGGCTTCCTCTCCAAAACTCCCCATTGCTAGTAACAGCCTCAGGGACTGCCTGATGAAACTTTCTATGATGATGAAAACGTTCCCTATTGGCTCTGTCCAACATAGTAGCCACTAGCCACATGTGAACATTTGAAATGTGGTCAGTGTGACTGAAGAGCTGAATTTCAGAAGTTAGAAGTTATTTATTTTCAGTAAACTTACATGTAAATTGCCATGTGGGGCAAACGGTTAGTGTGTTGGACAGTGCGGGTCTGGAGCTCAAGACCTCCATCGTTTCAATTTCTCTGCAGCAATCTAATGAATTTGTCCCGGGTCTGAATTCCAAGGCCTTCATCCTAGAGAAGTACCAATAAGCTACTCTGATAAACAGAATCTTATTCATAAATTAAGGTCTTACCGCTCTAGGTCAGTGCATAGGTTTTTGAGAGCAATGCCATATGTTAGTCAAAGCAGAGGCTCAAATGATAGGAGTTTGAAGGACTCTGGCAGGCAAACATGGAGGGTGAAAAGATTATAGGCACAGAGTTTCAGTCACACTTCAAAGCACACTCTGTGGAGGGCACATTGCACCACCCCACTCCCCCGCCCCCACAACCGCAGTGTCCTGGGCTGCTTCTAAACTCCCTTGCAGTCTGGAAAAAGTTAAGGTTGGAGTCGTGCAGATGGGAGCTGGGGAAAAGGCTGGAGGTGGAGAGTTGGAACAGGCAGAGCCCAGAGATGCCAAGCTCTTGCTAAGGACCCTGGTGTGCCAGTCCGAGTGGTGTTCTGTTCCACCCTCAGGAGGAGGTGCCAAGGAGAGATTGTTAGGGAGGTCACTGGGACAAGAGCTGACAAATCAATCATAGGAAGTATCAAGACTCCACTTTACCAACGGAGAAACCAAGTCATATGGCTTTCCTCTGTATGTACTACAGAAAAATGGGGTCTAGACCCGCTGAGACATTGGGACCAGTCAAAGAGACCAGACACCAGATTAAAGGCCACAAAATGGACAATGGCACTTTTCGTGGAGTCTTGGCCAGGAACTGCGATTCTAGGCTTAATTATAATCCTCTCTTTTAGGGAGATTTTCCCCTCTGAATTCCTTTATGAACATTGCTTTCTGGTTGTTCTTTTCACCCTGAAACTGAGCTGCATTTCTGTTTCTCTTGGATGATCAGGTAAGTGTTCTTGAATTCTTGCCTGTGTTTTCACAGATACTCATGGGTATCATAAGCAGTTTTTCAAACCAAACACACGGTTGAGTAAGGGGTGGAGGGTTGTGGGAGGTGGGTGCAGGGAAGGGAGATCGACCAGGGAGAAAAGAGGCACACGTGGAGATGAGCAGGAAATGCGTATACCAATCCTAGCACTTTGGAATTTACTCTCGGGGCCTTGGCTCACCAAATGGTACCACATGGTAGATCTGCTCCCACAGCCTCACCTGCTCTACACTCTCTGAGGAATGGGAAAAGGGATTTCCAGTTAAACCACTGCCAAGAATGGATGCCTATTTGTTTAAAAATATCAAATTTTATGAAGTAATTGGAGACTGAGTCCCACATCTTTAGTGCAGTAATGTGGTCCATAAAATAAAAAAATAGCAGCCAGATCCCCCTGGTGCTTTGCAACACAGTTCAGACTACACAGTGCTTTTTTGGACCTCTCTGTCCTCATGAATGGAAGGACTACTCACAGTATTCAGTGCTACCCTGTTCTTCTTTGTTTCCATTCCATTCAAACAAATCCTCTGAGGCATTTGGCGTCAAGGGGCAGAAACACAGAGAGGCTGGTTGTCTGGTTAGGTAGGCTCACCAGTTATAATGTTACCAAATACTCCTGGGCAGGCTATATTATGCCACAGGGTCCTTCTGTGCCAGAGCATTTTGGCCACTTCTGTCTGAATACTATACATTTCAGTCCATTTGCATGAAAAGCAGAAGTTCTTGTTGGGCTGAGGTAACTTAGAGTGGTGGAGGTCCATGGGGCTGATTGTGCTCCCCTCCACCCCAACTCAGGGGACATTTGGCATTATTTTATTATCACGACCTGGGGGACATTTTGTCCTTCCTGGAACCTTAGGCAACATCTAGGGACATTGCTGATTATTACAAGTATGGTAGGGTGCTGTCCTACTGGCATTGAGTGAGTAGAGATTAGGGATGATGCTAAGATCCCAGGGATGAAGAGCCTCCATGACAAAGAATGATCTGGCCCAGAATGTCAACAGTGCTCAAGCTGAGAATCTCTGGGCCACAGGGAAAGCTCAGGTTTTGTTCTTAACATTGAAGTGCCCTATGACCCTCAAAAGGCTATCACTTTTTCAATTTTGAAAGACTAGTAAATATCCTGGGTGGCCTCAGGAAATCCTAGGACAATTTTGGCCACAGTTCTCTTTTACCAATGACCCAGTCAGTTTCATATCTTCAAGAGTTCTTAACTTCTTCTGAAAGAGAGAGTGCATTCTCAGGGTTACACAGTCACATTGGTCTCAGTGGGTCTAGATCCCATTTTGCTGTAGTATATACAGAGGAAAGCCATATGACTTGGTTTCTCCATTGGTAAAGTGGAGTCTTGATACTTCATATGATTGATTTGTCAGCTGGGCCTGGCATCCTAGAGAGATGGAATGGGGGCATGGTATTTGAGTTGGGATGAAGGGGGAAAATGTGAGTTAAGTACTTCTACCCAATTCCAACGCCAAAATGGCAAATAGGGCAATGCCAAAATGGCAATAGGATACTGTAAGTAGGGGAGAGGCAACCAATAGTTTGTGAGATCCCAGCCAGCAGATTGTGCCTGGGACGCAGTGGGCCCTGGGGCCATGAAATGATTTTGCTTGCCAATGGTAGAAGGAGAAGATCCAGGGCCTATCACATATGAGTCTTTCCATGAGGTCTGTCACTGGGCTGGGATCATCATCCCAGACATGAAGCAGTGATGACATTAGGGCGCTGAGGGGGATACAGAAAGCTATGGCAAAAATTTACGTACAGCTTCTTGGGAAAATAAGAATAAACAGTATTTCTTTTCCTGATTTGAAAGTAAGACAATCATTGTTGAAAATCTCTCAACTATGGAAAAAACATAAGAAGAAAATAAAAATCTCTTGCATCACTAAGAGATGTCAGCTATTAATAGTTTTGGTATTTCCTTTTAGAAAAACAGAAGGTTCTTCTGAGCAGGACAGGCTGGGGAGATTGAAAATATGTTTGAGAACAGCAGAATGAGACAATGTAGACATTGACCAGTTTGGAAGTATTTTCTCTCTGAGCCAAGATAGGTGAGTCCCAAGATAGGCGAGTTCCCATCCTTGCCTGGTTGAAATGGACAGCAGGAGGACAGACGGGCGGTGTGACAGAGGGACATGTGATCAAGTTTCCCTTACCTTCAGGGTTCATGTGGAAAGCTTCTGTAGCATTCACCTCCATGAATAGAAGGGTTCTTTAGCTGAAAGAGAAAATGACTCATTTTAGCTGAAGGATGACAAAGAGGAGAGATAATTTCTGACTCACTTAATAGCATCAGCATGACTGCACTCGATAGCCCTCGTTTTTTGGAATTAGTTTCTTGGCAACTTTATTATGAAGTAATTTCAAACTTACAGAAAAGTTGCAAAAATCATAAAAAAAGAAAATCCCATAAACCCTTCACTCAGATACCCTAACAGGTAATATTTTACCATATTTAATTTATCACTTTCTTCTCCGTATACACAAATTGTTATTTTTCTGAATCACTTGAGAATAAGTTGCAGTCATGATGCCTCTTAACCCCTAAATTTTTCAGTATGTTTTCCTAAGTATAAGGGCATTCTCTTACCTTAACAGTGTGATGATTAAAATCAGAAAATTAACATCAACACGGTACTACTATCTAATCCGTAGATCTTACTCAAATGTTGTCAGTCATCCTAATTGGGATGAGATTTGATGAAATTTGGTCCTCGAGACCTTGAGTGAAGTTTATTGACAAATCCTATCACAGCCGTGGCTGAATTCGGGGATTTGGCCACGCTCACCTGAAGCTCAGATTTGATGCTGTCTCATGGGTTCACATGCGCGTTGGCAGAAGAATGCTTTTCCAAGTGGGACTAACTTTTGGTGAGGATAAGGTTGTTCACTGGGCTGTCGGGTGTGGGCTTGTGTCACCTGGGCCGTGCCCATCGGAAATCACAGTTCCCACTTTGCTCCTTCCAGTATACCTGGCTCTGGGTTTTGTATAGGACGTTCTCAACTCTGGGATCTGACTGGCCTCAGTCTGGGGGGCACAAGGTGACAACTGCCAGTAGTACGGCTCTGAGTTAGAACAAAAATGACTTCAGGACTCGAATACAAAATTGGCCCCTCTACGTCTGCAGTTCCTTTTTAAAATTTGCTTTGATATATGGACCCTAATTCAGTGCCCAATTTTGTCTTGTGCATTCCACGCTACAATAATCTAGCTAGAGTGGTGGACCAAACAATGCCTTCAAATAAGTTCTATATCTTCAAAATTCAGAATCCTTAGGACTATCCCTGTGGAATCAAGTGCTGAATACTCTCCATGCTGACTCAGCTGATGGAGGAGAGAGTGACAAGGGGGGCCACTGAGGATCTCTCTCACACACCCCACTGTCTCAGCATTACTGCTACTGGCAAAGTGAATGGAGAGCCCAGACGTCTTTGCAATAAAAGCCTATGATGTGTTGAGATCCTTTTGGACATGAAACAGCCAGCTGCAAGGCACTTGATAATGAGGTGTCTGGCAAATCCAGAGCCCGTAACACAAATGTCTGGGGCAGCTTTCTCAAAAGCCACCAGTTTCTCTCCATTCGGTACAGTGATGCTGAATTTTTTGTTTTTTAAGACTCCGAACATTCTAGAATGCATTTTAGATTCTGACAATAATTTCAGGACTTATAGCCCTCTCTTTGATAATGTCTTAGGTCTGTTGAGAAGAATCCAGACTCCTTTTACCCTCTCGCAGGAAACCCTGAGGGGTCAGCTGAGGCTAGGGAAGGGTGCAGAGGGTGTGGAGCACAGGGAAAGCCTTCCACTGGGGGTAGAAAGTCTGGAATGCCAAGAGGCAGCAGTGATGACTCTGGGACAAGAGACCATAAAAGAGATCATGGCCCCAACACTCATTTCTGCAGTTCGACAAACATTAACTGAATGACAGGCTTTGGGCTCACTTCATTCATCCAACTGTTTATTCGTTCAGCATTTGTTAAGTGCCTGGCACATCATCAAGCCTTGTCATCCTCTGCCCCACTACTGCACCTCCTCTCAGTCCTGCCCTGTGCCTTGTGGAGGTGACTCCGGTGGCTCTTGCCCTTCAGCTTCAGCTTGGGCTCCACCCACAGGAGGGAGAGGGTGGGGTTAGAGCACATCAGGGTAGGATTTCCCTCCCTCCCTGCCTTCCTCGTGGCTTGGTCTTGGCAGTGGTTGTGTCTCTACCACAGCTCCAGTGGACCAGCCCTCCTTCCATGGCTCCAGCTATCACTGGGTCCCAGCAAAATCCCTCCCCGCCATCCCCTTCTGTGGAGAAAGGGTGGTGACAAATTCCCTTGTTAGTTCTCTCAACCTTGCCCCACGGGTATGTCAATGGGCTCTTGATTATATTCTCTTGAAAATCCTAGCTTGAGCATATCATCTTCTTCCTGTCTGACTCTGACCAATGCAGCCTTTTAATATGTGCTGAATTGTTTTCAGATTGCTCTGGACAGGCCAGAAAGATGTAAAGTTTTGGATATAGTTTCTAACACTAAGCTACGGCAGTGCAGGGTGGGGAGGCAGAACTTAACAGAAGCTCCTGGGGAAAATAATCTCAGAGATGTAGTCCTTTATACACTCTAGGATTACATGTCAGTCAAAGATCAACCTAATCTCTGGCCACATCATTAGAAGTACGGTATCCAGGACAAGGGAGGTGATAGCGTGCCTTCATTCTGCCTCCATTAGCTCCCACGTACAGTTCTATGTACAGACATATTAATTGTAAGTGTTTCAAGGCCTGCCATATACAGCAGAGGTCAAAAACTTTTTCTTCAAGGGCCAAATAATAAATGTATTTGACTTTGTAGGCCATAAGTTCTTTGTTGCAACTAGTCCGCTATTGTGCAAAAGCAGCCACAGACAATGGATAAATGAGTAGGCTTGGCTGTGTTCTAACCAACTTTATTTACAAAAATAAATGGGTAGCTGCATTTGGCTTGCAAGTTTTACTTAGCGGACTTCTGATATATAGGGAAAAAAATCTTTTTTTTTTTTCTCTTCTCTGGGTGTGTCCAGAAGGCAAAAGTTGGATCAATGTATAGAAATCACACAAAAGTAGATTCGTGCTAATTTTAAGGAAAACCTTTCTAATGGTGACTACCATTCCCAAGTAGAATGAGATGCTTCATGAGGCAGTGAGTGGGTTGCTCATTGTAAGGGTTTAAAAGAAAGGCTAAGTGTTGGAGAATAATTTTCTGCAAAGCACAAGAAGTAAGTCAGATGATGTGGGAGGCAACAGTTCCTCATATTCCTATATACTCAGCATAGTACTGCCCACATAGTAGCTCCTCTAGATTTTATGTCCCTCGAGGGAAGAGATTCTGTCATTCCTATCCTTGCATCTTGAATTCCTAGTATAGTGTTTTAAACATGGCAGGTGTGGCTGATACATGTTTTGTGAGCTTGGCTCTGTAAGTAAAATCCTGCTGACAGATGAGTGAAACTAATTTGTCTTTAATACAGTCATCACTATGAGTCATATTAAATTAGTTCAGTTATCTTTAATAAGCTTCAACATTTGAGGATTTTCACTGAAAAGAATGGATTTAACAGCCAACATTTATCGAGTTCTGAAAATATGCCAACTACTGTGCTAAGAACTTTAATAGGCATTCTCTTATTTAATTATCCCCCCAAACCTATGAGGGAGGTACCACTGTCATCCTATTTTACTGATGAAAAAACTGAAATTCAGAGAAGTCTCATAGCTGGTAAGTGGCATCACCAAAACAGGAATCTCTTTGATGCCTAAGGCTGTGGTCCAACCACAACTCCATCCTGCTTCTCATTCATTCATTCATTCATTCATCCATCCATTCATGCATTCATTATTTAACAAACATTGATTGGTTGCCTGTTATTTGCCAAGTACTGTTTCTTAGGTTCTGAAGACAGAGCGGTGAATATAAACAGATCAAGTCCATGCTCTGAAGGAACTTACATTCTGGCTGGGATTAGAGCAGGGGTAGATGTACTATTAAATGAGGAGATATTAAATGGTAATTCATCAGAAGACACAGAGATTAAAAAGATAATAAATAAGTCTTGTCCATACCAGAACTTCAGGGATAATCCCCTATTGGTGAATTTACCAAAGCTCTTTCTTGTTTACTGACATTACCCCAAGTTCAGTCCTTAGTCTTGATAAATTGTCAGATACACTCAGAGATTAAGAAAGAAGCTTCAAGCATTCTGGAAGATGATGGAGATCATATATGGCAATGTATACATGTATGTGTGATATGTGTATGAAGTCCCCAAAGGGAAAATAACCCAATAAAATATTCAAGAATCATACTTCATGGGCAGGTCGAATCTGAGCACCATTAAAATGGGAGACCAGAGGCAACAGATGGAAAGGGGTGGAAAGAGCTAATCCAGTTAACACAAAAATAAAGAAGAGGGGTGCTTGGGTGGCTCAGTCGTTGAGCATCTGCCTTCGGCTCAGGTCATGATCCCAGGGTCCTGGGATCGAGCCCCACATCGGGCTCCCTGCTCCGCGGGAAGCCTGCTTCTCCCTCTCCCACTCCCCCTGCTTGTGTTCCCTCTCTCTGTGTCTCTGTCTGTCAAATAAATAAATAAAATCTTAAAAAAGAAACCCATTTAAAAAAAATAAAGAAGAAAGATAATCCAGTTAAAAATGGGCAGAAGACATGAATAAATATTTTCCCAAAGAAGACATACAGATGGCCAACAGACCCATGAAAAGATGCTGCATATCACTCATCATTGGGGAAATGCAAATCAAAACTGCAATGAGCTATCACCTCCCACCTGTCAGAATGGCTAAAATAAACAACACAAGAAACAATGCAAACTGGTGCAGCCACTCTGGAGAACAGTATGGAGATTCCTGATAAAGTTAAAAATAGAACTACCCTACAATCCAGCAATTGCATTTCTAGGTATTTACCCAAAGAATACAGAAGTACTAATTTGAAGTGATACATGCACCCCAATGTTCGTAGCAGCATTATCTACAATAGCTAAATTATGGAAAGAGCCGAAATGTCCATCGACTGATGAATGGATAAAGAAGATGTGGTGTATATATATAAAACGGAATATTACTCAGCTATAAAAAAGAATGAAATCTTGCCATTTGCAATGCAACAATGTGGATGGAGCTAGAGTGTATTACGCTAAGCAAAGTAAGTCGGTCAGAGAAAGACAAATACCATATGATTTCACTCA